CTGGGGCCGCTGCGGGTGCCCAGACCCAGCACTGACTGCCTAGGGCAGTGATGGTGAACCTTTTGAGCTCGGCGTGTCAGCATTTTGAAAAACCCTAACTTAACCCTGGTGCCATGTCACATATAGAAATTTTTTGATATTTTCAACCATAGTAAAACAAAGACTTATATTTTGATATTTATTTTATATATTTAAATGCCATTTAACAAAGAAAAATCAACCAAAAAAATTAGTTCGTGTGTCACCTCTGACACGCGTGTCATAGGTTCGCCATCACTGGCCTAGGGGGCTGTGGATCAGGCTCTGAGAGAGGCTGCAGAGAGAGGGGCAGGGTCTGATCCATAGCCGCTTGGCAGCCATTGATCAAAATTTGCCTCTCTTTCTCTCCCAGCCTGGCCAACAGCCGAGCCTCCATTTCTCTCCAGGCCTCCACGGGGGCTGCTGATCAGCCCCGCCTTTCTGATCAGGCCCCGTTGATAGGCCCAGAGACTCTGACTGGCATAGAAACTGACCAATCAGAACCAAATCTGGGTGAATGTAAGGAGTCAATGGCTGCCTAGGAGGCGGAGCTGTTGACGCTGACTGGCATAGAAACTGACCAATCAGAACCAAATTGGCCTGCAGGGGAGGGCAGTTAGGGGTAATCAGGCAGGCAGAGGCAGTTAGGGGCGATCAGGACGGCAGGAGAGAGCTGTTAGGGGTGAGATCAGGCTGGCAGGAGAAGGCAGTTGGGGGCGAGATCAGACCAGCAGGGAAGGGCAGTTAGGGGCAATCAGGCTGGCAGGAGAGGGCAGTTGGGGGCGAGATCATATCAGCAAGGGAGGGCAGTTAGGGGTGATCAGGCAGGCAGAGGCAGTTGGGGGCTCAATCAGCCCAGCAGGGGAGGGCAGTTAGGGGCAATCAGGTAGGCAGGCAGAGAGGTTAGGGGCAATCAGGCAGGCAGGCAGAGGGGTTAGGGGCAATCAGGCAGGCAGGCAGGTGAGTGGTTAGGAGCCAGCAATCCCAGATTGTGAGAGGGTTGTCCGACTGCCAGTTGAACATCCCCTGAGAGGTGCCCAATTGGAGTGGGTGCAGGCTGGGCTGAGGGAACCACCCCCCCTCCATGCACTGGGCCTCTAGTTATATATAAAGAACAAAAGCCCCTGGATTAGCCTATCATCTCTTTTTACCCCCATCCCTACCTTCAACTAGACCCCAGTTTAGAAAAAGAGAAGTCATTGTAGCAATTAAAGAAAAAAACAAATAAATGAATTCGAGGCCTTTAGGAGGAACTCTGTCCTGAACAGTTCCAAGGGGAACCTTTCAGGGTCCTTGGGAGTCATACATTACTATTTGTATGACCATGCATAATGTTTTTGGCTTTTATGTTCCCAGACACCCAAGTCCTGGTTATTTAAGGATAGTTTAAAAATTTTTGAGGGTAATTTTGATAGAGATTCTCTTTTGATTTTTACCTTATTCACTGATCTTAGAACCTAACTCCCACTCCTATAATTTTTAGCACAAAACAATACCAGGGTTACATAGCAAGCATATGCCATTCTGTTCATAGTGGAGGTATTCTTATTTCACGTGGTTTAATCATATATGCTCATATACTATTAGTTTCTAGTTAAAGCTGAAATAGTTCAAATATGAATGTAAAAAACATTCTTTAATTTTATAAATAACTAAAAGCAAAATAAATGAAAGTTGGATTAACCTTCAATCCTATATAATAAAAGAGAAACATGTAAATTGACTGTCCCTTCACTACGCTCACCAGCCCATCAGGGTGAATATGCAAATTAACCCAACAAAGATGGTGGGTTAATTTGCATACACAGACGCCAGGCAGAGAGAAGAAGCGGGAGAGCAGGCAGCTTGGGGGGACGTGGCTCCCTCAGTCGTTGAGCAGAGAGCAGAGCAGGAGAGCCAGAGGCTTGGAGGCTTGGGGAGCTGTGGCTCCCTCGGTTGTTCCCAGTGCGGGGAGCACCAGGAATTCTGGGAATAGTAGTTCTGATGGCAGCCCAGGACGGAAGTGGAAGCCCAGAGCGCGGGAAGCACCAGGAATGCTGGGAATCATAGTTCTGGTGGCAGACGGATCTCCTAGACACTAGAGCAAAGTGAGCCTGGAGCAAGTTACTGTTGTGGTGGGGGATGGAGGGAAAGCAAAGGTGAGAGACACAAGTAAAATCAGAGTGTCTAGGAAAAATTAAAGGGAAGATATCCTAAAACTTCCAGGAAATCTCCACCAATGAAGCAAAGAAGAAAAAAAAAGCCTCTATTATTCCATGAGCAACAAACCAAACTGGGTTGGGGGGGTCTCAGACAATTCGTTCATATGATTGCAAAGACAGACAGAAACTCCCGGATTGGAGAGGGCTCCCCTGAGGGCTCCCAGATTGGAGAGGGTACAGGTCGGGCTGAGGGGCCCCCTCCCTACCTCCCCATGCATGAATCTTCATGCACTGGGGCCCTAGTATTCTAATAAAAATAATTCAGAGGTTCACTTCTAATGGGAAAGGCTTGTATTACTTAGAAATTATTGATTTTACTCAAACACCAATCATTAAAAACTTGTTACTGCTTTATTATGTAATACTAGTGGCCCAGTGCATGAAATTCATGCATGGGGGTGGGGGGAGGGGTTGTCCCTCAGCCCAGCCTGCACCCTCTCCAATCTGGGACCCCTCAGGGGAAGTCTGATTGCCGGCAGTCGGACATCCCTCTCACAATCCAAGACCACTGGCTCCTAACTACTCGCCTGCCTGATTACCCCTAACCACTTCTGCCTGCCAGCCTGATCACCCCCTAACTGCTCCCCTGCCAGCCCGATCTCACCCAACTGCCCTCCCCTGCCAGCCCAGTCGCCCCCATCTGCCCTTCCCTGCCTCTTGGTCGCCCACAACTGCCCTCCCCTGCTGGCCTGATTGCCTGCAACTGCCCTCCCCTGCCAGCCTGATCATCCCCCAACTGCCCTCCCCTGCTGCAACCCACCTCCTCCATGCAAGGCAGCGGAGATGCCGGGACCAGCCTCCTCCGCACCACGCGGAGCCGCGGGACCCCCAGGCCTCATTGCACAGAGCAGCCACCAGGCCCCACCTCCGCTGTGCGCACAGCCATCTTGCGGCTGCCATCTGGGGCGGATATCTTGTGATGATGTCTCGCATGAGGGCCACCTAGCTTTTATTAGTATAGATAAATTCTAAAACTAATAATTTTAAAAATTATATATTTATTACCCTAAAGGGCTAATAACATGCTTATTACTATAAAAGCACTTTTACTATCATGTATTTTTTAAAACTACACAAAATATTATTAACATTACTTTTCATGTTATTTGGTAAGGAGAATAATATAGTTTATTGTCAGAATGGCTTAAATACATAATTCTGAGTTACTTTTATTATAATTTCTAAAGTAAATTCCATTTTATTCTCTGTGTCTGACTTTAACTTATATAAAAGTAATTTGTGTATATACTATATATGTATTTACATACATATATGGCATACATATGTGTTTATGTATGTATACACACACTTCTCCTAGCCTTCCCAAATAATACCGTTACATTATTTTTATATTAAAACTATAAGACTATTCCCAACTGCAATGCCCTGTGCATCAAATTTGAGAAACAAAAATACAAATTTCTGTATCACTTACTTTAAAGCTCAGCAATGCTGGATTCCTTTTTCTTGTTAACCCAACCTTGCATTGATTTTGCTTAATTTTGGCTTTATTAATATCTGTGTTTTGGACTATATTATCCTATGCTTGATGTATATAAATCTCATTCATGCAATTGACAGCAGAGATTACTTCTTAATAAAAAAAATAAATTATTGTTGAATGTTTAAGAACAAATAAATGGAAGCTCAATCAATGAATTCACTATGGAAAAACAGAAGGGACTACCATAGCAAATGTGAAAAAGGCAAAAGAGCATTTTTTGGATTCAGTGGCAGATAAGAAAGTGTAAGAGTGAACAGCAGCCTGTGGCTATTCTCCTTATAGATATTCCCCAAAATTGAAAACATAATTTTATGAAAGAGAAATAAAGAGAAGTTGTAAGATGTGAGTTTTCTCATGATATACTAAGTATAAGACCCAGTAGTGTCAAAAAGCAGAAAAAGACAAAACAAAAACAAACAAAAAAAACAACCTGACAAGAGAAACTGAACAGGTAAAAGTGGTTTATGGAATATGATGGAAATTAGAGATTTTTTTAAATAGAGGGTGGAAACATCTATAATAATAAAAGCGTAATATACTAATTAGACCGGATGTCATTCCAGATGAAGCCAGGGCCAGAGGGAAGCCCAGATCCGGGTGCCAGAGGGAAGCCAGTGCCGGCAGCCAGGGGAAGGAAGGCCTACTCTTGCATGAATTTTATGCATCGGGCTTCTAGTCTATACTAATAAAACTCTAGGTGGCCCTCGTGCATGACGTCGTAACAAGATGGCCACCACAAGATGATGGCTGCCGCAGGATGGCCGTGTGCACAGTGGAGGCGGAGCCCAGTGGCCGTTCTGCGCAGTGAGGCCTGGGGGTCCCGTGGCTCTGCGCAGCACAGAGGCCGGTCCCAGTGGAGGAGGCGGGTTGTGGCAGAGCAGTCATGGGTGATCAGTCCAGCAGGGAAGAGCAGTTGGGGGCAATTGGGCCAGCAGGGGAGCTGTTAGGCGTCAATCAGGCCAGCAGGGGTTCAGTTAGGGGGCGATCAGGCTGGCAGGCAGAAGTGGTTAGGGGCAATCAGGCAGGCAGGCAAGTGAGCGGTTAGGAGCCAGCAGTCCTGGATTGTGTGAGGGATGTCTGACTGCCAGACATTCCCCAAAGGGTCCCAGATTGGAGTGGGTGCAGGCCAGGCTGAGGGCCATCCCTCTCCCCTGTGCATGAATTTTGTGCACTGGGCCACTAGTTAGATATAAGATTACTGTAAAAGAAAAAAGAAAGTTGGCTAATTTTTGCTTTATCTGGCTTTAAATGGTCTCCATGGTTTCTTTTCCTTGTAGAATGCCGGAGTCACCTGGAGAAGTTCCTGAATATCCTCTGTTTGTCACAGTGGGTGACTGGCTGGATTCTATAAAAATGGGGCAATATAAGAATAACTTCATGTCTGCAGGGTTTACAACTTTTGACCTGATTTCAAGAATGAGCATCGAGTAAGTGGTACTAGGGTTATTGCTGGGTTTAGATGCTCCACCCAGGGGATTATAAATTCAAGTACTGTATCAAGAACACCATGGTTAAACTACCTTTCCCAAGGCTACTATAGCATTCCCACATCTTTCCCCACCATTTCCAAATACTGTTCTAGTGGAAGTTGGACATTACACTTTTAACTACTATTCTTTTAAAGAATATATTTTATTCAAATCGCTATTTAAAATTTTATAATAATTTCTAAAATGCATATTAGGCTTGTTCACATCATAGACTTTACATCAACATGGTTTTATCCTGGTAAGTTATTTATTACTCATATATGCTCATCTTATATACTAGTAATCACTTCCTGTTACTTCATCAAATCTAATAATTGTAATAATATAATATTATCATGTCATTTCAGATTTCCTTCTCTATAGTATTATGGCCAGTCATTTTCCCACTGTCTCAGAGGTTTTCTTTTGCCTGTGTGCAATAAAAGTGCTCAAGATGTGCTTAAAAGGTTAGATACTAAAACTAGTAAGTTGAACCATATGAAATTGCCATTGTTTTAAAATAGTAATGACAATTTCATATGATTCAGCATAATACAATGGCATTCTTTTTCAAATTATTGAAAGATCTGAGAACTCAAATGGAGTCCACATTATACATTCCGCCCTACATACTATTTTGCTAACACTGTTGAAAATTTATACAATTACCTAAATTATATAATGTTTAGGGCTATGACATGTCTGAATATTACATTAGTACCTGAATTTGAAGTTTTCCTTAAATTTAAGGTTAAATTGATGTATTCAACTGGCACCAGGGAGAAAAAAAAAGTAACAAACTCTTAATGTTCATTTATATGTCTTCTTAAACTTTTACTTTACCAGTTATACAATTTTTGGCAAATTTATAAAGCAAATCAGACATGTTGCATATTTTCCATATCTCAATGTTTATTTCCTCTCTCTCATACTTGGGTCTTGGATATTCCCCAAATTTGAAAACACAATTTTATGCGAGAGAAAAAAGTAAAGAGGAGTTGGCAAGATCTCAGATCTAAATGTTCATATTCTCTATTCTCTATCCCCCTCTTCCCCTGCCTCCTCTCTCTTTCTCTCCCTCTCTCTCTCTTTTTCTCTCTCAGTGACGTCAGAAGAATTGGAGTCATACTCATTGGACACCAGAGACGAATAGTCAGCAGTATACAGACGTTACGTTTACACATGATGCACATACAGGAGAAAGGATTTCATGTATGAAAGGACTACAAGCACCGGTGTTTTGTGCCTCAGCATTTCTATAATGAAAGATACCCTCTCTACTACCCGCTCTTCTGAATCTCCAAACACCACTTTACAAACTGCTGTCCCCTACTCAGACTACGGGGCACACACTCTTGTTTATGCTTCCAACCTGGATTTTTAAATCATGCTTCCTAGCTCCTCTCTGAATAACCTGCAAATAAAACCCTGGCCCACTGCAGATATTACTACACAATGGTAAATAACTCAGCATGGATGTGTAACTTTGTATAACAGCATTTGGGAAGTGTTCAGGGACTTAACACATAGGAATTTGCCCAGATGTAACTTCCTTAATGATGTATTTAGAGTTTGATGGTAGATGAAAAAGAAATAGTTGACCTTATTTTCATGGTTTGTGATCAAGTAGCTTCCAAATTGACATGCATATTTATTTGTTAGGTAATTATATTTAACTCTATGGGTCGTATTGTTATTTTATTTTATAATGGCCTAATTGTTGATGCCTGATGTTGTTAGATTTACAGAAATGAGCAATGGTTTTATGTAGTGAATTCTTGTCAGGTGTGACTATGGTGAGAAGGGCGTTATCGGGGAGGGAAAGGGAGAAACATACTGTGCTTTTAGATCTTCTAAGGCTGGGTTTGTCTATTTTTTTTTAAAGTGTCCTACGTATTTCATAGTAGGTGGTAGTTTAGAGGCTTTCCCCCTCTAATTTTTTACTAACTACAGTACTATAGTATATTTCTCTACTACCTTATAAAGATCACCTCTAGAAAGACCATGACAGAGTCCTTTGCTCTAAAGGCTTTCACAGAGTGAAGTATAGAATAAAACCATGACTATTTCCTTGGCTCTTCTTCACAAGTTTCCAAAAGTAATTATTCTCAGTAGAATTCCTTGAAATAAAAGCTCTAAGATTATAGCCTTGGATTCAATGTTAAAATGTTAATTTAATTTAAACAGCATTTAATAATAGTTGCCTGGTGGCAAAAGAAAATAAATACATGTAGCTGACCATTTGATATTAGTGCATTTTGCAAGCTTAAGAATTGTGGTTTCGTTCATAAAAATAAGTTACATGAACATGCTGAGCTGTTTTCCAAACCTTCCAAGAGACAGGTATGCCATTGCATACTCCAAAGAGAACATAAACTGATCTAACACATGAACATACATAAATATTGTGTCAATCTGGGTTCATAATACAGTAACATAAAAACATGAAACAGCTAAGGTATGCTGTTGTCATAATCTTCTTGGAGGCTGTCGAAAAGACAAATACATTTTTTAGTGAATTAAGCTGAGTCAGCTTATCAAAATAGTGCTGTATTATGAACAAATTCAATTATAAAATCAGCTGTTCTTTGTGAAACTAAAAAAAAAAAAATGACTGTTGTGCTAGCTATAAGAGTAGGGAGAATGTGTTAAGGAAGAAAAACCAAAAGGCCAGGTTGTCTAAAGATGCTAATGTAATAAATCAGTTTTTATTTGATCACATGGATAAAGGTGCCTACCCACATTCTCAGATTCCTACCTAAATCACATTTTTTGGTGACAGTAGCTTTCTTGCTATTAAAGGAGATTCACTTTTTTTGTTTATCTTTTTTCAGATTTGTTGATTGTCCTGTTAGACTACACTTTTCCACATATTTATTTTCTTAATGATTTATCTCCTGACTTTTGCCTACCACAGCTTAATTTGTCTCATTTCAAAAAAAAAAAATGTATAGAGCTAAAAGGAAGAGTCTTTAAAATACTCCTTGAAGTATACTAAAAAGGAAAAAAGTAGGAAATCCATCACTTTTTAAGTAAGTTTATCAGAAATAGCTAGCAGCATCTTCCAGCCATCACCCGCATGGTCACACATCACTCAAACTATCTGCAGTTTGCTTGATACATTTACACAAATATGAATACATTTAGAGGAAATATAAAATATCCACATTTACCTGTCTTCAAATATATATTAAATAATAACGTAAATAACAGATGTAAAACAGATTAAATTTATTAACCATATATATTTATTTTTATAATACAATAAAAAAGGTATTTAGAAAAATAAGGAATAGAATAATTATGGTCTTCCATAGGACTTTGTCAGCAACATCTGTATACTTTGATGAAATCTTTAAATTTCTTTAGAAAAAGCATTCAGTGTTTGCCACATTGAAGTTCTCTGTTAAGAAATTTTTTCCTTAAAAAAGCCTGATTCTATCCATATCTGGTTAATTTATACTTTTTTTCTTCCCTAACATCCTTATCTAGTTTTATAAACTGTCTTTTCACTTTGTCTCTTACCCAAAATCCTCTTTAAAATTACATTTACATTTTTTAGAACTATAAGCATGATAATCCTAAGAGTGTAATTTTGAACCTCATTATGGTCAGAGCAAGGCTGAAATATGTGTGCAATATTAAACTGAAACATTAAAAAATAAAGCTATTTCTTTACCGCCTATCAATCACAGAGTCCGTGATCCCAAGGGTATGATAATATGCAGAAATGTTAATAGTTAAGTTGTCAAATATGTTTGAAAATTTTACATGAAATATTTTGAGATTTACTAGTGTACATATTCAGTAATTAAAACTTTAATATGCATAAACATAGCACTTAATTATAGGAAGAAAATGAGTAACTTCCATAAATCACAAGCCTTCAGGAAAAATCTTTGATAACTAAAATATGCATCTATATTCATGTACCTGCATTATTTTAAATTTTCTTATCTATACTAGTGAGAGTCTTTTTGGATTTTGACAATCAGACAGATGAAGAAACTATTTTCATCTTATATTCTGGTTGGTCAATTTCCAGCCTGTAGTCAACTCATTTTCTCATAAGGCATATCTGAAAAAAATTGTAAAACAATGCACAATCGAGATTAGGTACATAAATCGTTAAATTTAAAATGTCAGAAATTGCAAAGCTCTTAGCTTAACCAGAATCAATAATTATAGCACTTTTGCGCTGTTATAACTGTTGATAACTAAGTTATGCATGCCATAATCAAGATGGTTTCTCTTATTTCACTCTGTACTATCCTTCAAAACCTATTTAGCTATCACGTAAATAAAATAGACTTCCAGCTTCAGCTTTAGGGCCTCAGTTCATGAATGGAAAACAAATCCAAATCCAATCCTTGAAAAGCAGTCTTTATAGAAAGTCTTCTGAAGGGTGACTTTTTTCCTTAAAAATCCATTTTTATTTCTTTCCCTACCCAATTTCCACTCTGTACAGCAGTCAGTTAAATCTCTTGTCGCAAACGGTTCATGAATACTAGGTATCTTTTTTCTATTCCTTCATTAATTTTTCCAAACCTTCCTTTCTCAGTCCCCTCTGTTCTCTCTTTATTCCTCCATCCCATCTCTCAGCTCCTACCACACCCCTTACCCTTATCAGCAAAAGAAAGGTAGCAGAGCAAGTCCAAAAAGGCCTTATTGGTCTCCATAAAAGATGCTGAGGGTGGAGGGAAGAAGAAACGTTGCAAATATCATACTTTAATAGTTTGGGTCCTACCACATAAATGGGAGCATTTGTAGTCACAAAACATCTGCATTCTGGATTTTCATTAACTGGAAATTAAGTGTTTTGGAAAGTAATTGCAAAAATGGATGATGATGACCCTTTTCTATAGCTTTAGCTAAGGAAATTTATTATTAATTTAAAAGAATCAAAAACTCTTATTGTCATCTCACAGCGATATATTCATGGCCATATTTTCTGTTCATGTGTATGTAGACTCACTACCTCAAAGGTGTTACTAATTAGAAAACATCAGACACTTTTTAAAAACAATTCTTTAGTAATCTCTTGCCTAAGCCAATTCACTAATCTTAGTAAATATAAGAATAAGTATGAACCTGCAATGGTTGCATAAAATTCTTTCATATATGATACATTTAACAAGGGAAAGAGATGATTACTCATGATATATCTAACATATTACTAGGTGAAATAAAGAAACAAAAACCTTCATTGCAAGAAAATAAATACTCCATCTTTCCCTTACTGTTCCCTTAAAAATATATATTAGGTATTTAAAAGATTTCTTAGCATGAAAAATACTATTTTATGTTATCAGGGGATGACATGATATTCGTGTCTTCTGGGGGAAAAAGATCCAGGTCATCAAAATGTAGTTCTAATTATCTTTCTTCTACAAATAATTAAATTCAAATTTCAAATGAATGATAGATTTATATAAAATGTCTTTAAAAGGACATTTACATCTTGACTGAAAGCCTTGGGTTCTTTACTTTTAATTCAAAAGAGGATTTTTGTTCAGTTGGCATTTGCTTTTATAGGATTTTGGAATAGATTTGAAAGTCTACCTTTAGCTTATCATTGTTGATTCAAAATTACTGTATTTAAAAATGAAAGAAAATATTAAAAGAAAAATTTTCAATTACTAAGGATAGTAAAGCACTAGTAAAAGAAAACACTTACTCTTTTAAAAAATAATCTGGCAAATACTAAGTTTTGTGTTCTCAATGATGCCAAATCCCCTGCATTTTATTATGTTTGCACTTTCCCATTGAAAGCAAAGTTCTTTTTAAACAAAACCAAGGAAGGTTCTTGCTTGAATTTCAGCACTGGTTAATCAGAATATTAAATCTCTAAGAAAACTTTTAATTAAGAGAACGTTATACATGTTTCATTTAAAAGAAAAAATCTTAAAGAATTCCACCACCTTTAAAGAAGTACATGACAGATGAAGATGAAAAATAGCTCTTAAATGTAATGTAAAGATGTAGTTTCTACTTTAGGTTAGAAAATAAAGTACAGATTAAGAGCACTATTTCCTGGGAGCTGTAAATTAGAAAAGTATCAGAACTAGCAAAAATCTCTCAAGGAAAGCTCTGTCCTTATTCATGTTTCTCCATTATTTGTAACCTCTGGTTGTCTTTAATTTGTCATCATAAATTCGCTTTCAGTTAAGATAATAAGTTATCAACTCAAATAATAAATCAGAACTGAGATATGGCATTAAGTGTTCTATAAAAAAAAAAGAGAGAGAGAACAACCCTGCTTCAGGATTCCTGTTTAGTTCGCATCAGAGTCTCCATTTCATTAGTCTTCACTGAAGGCAGAACTACCTTTATTCCAAAATAATATATTATTATAAAGAAAACTCCAAGGACATGAGAAACTTCACTTTTCATATGTCTAAATCAAATTTGACATTTAGGAATTATTAACTCTGAAGATAGACGTCCTTGTTTTCATGAGTTAAATGTGAGCTTACATGACAAGCAACATTGATATGAACATCTCTATGCACATTTATATAGATCATCATCCTTCGAACAGACTTAATTTGCCTCTGTTCTAGAAAGACCAAATATCATTTAACTTTTTGAAATCATGATTGAAGGAGTGAATAGTGCTAAATCATAAAAATGAGTATACAATACACTTTCACGATTTTTATCTCATTTAAAATATCCTCTTCTATTGCTTTTGTAATAAATTAAGTCTCTCTTCCACATTTAGTAATTTGTAGAATGAAATGTGCCCATTTAGATAGATAATGCTTTTGTTAAATTTTCATTTAAACACATCTTCACTCAGTCAAAGAGAAGCCAGAATATATTCATTCTATTTGCTCATTTTTCATACAAAGTACTAATTTCTGTGCTTTAGAAATATTTATCCAGTAATATCAATATTAAAGTTGTAATGTTTTTCTTTGACTGTACATGCTTTATTTATTGCCACACATTATTTTTGTCTTTGGAATAAATCTATTTAAAATTGTGGTCTACAACAAAATCAATGGCCTCTCCTTTGCTAACTTATAACTGAATGAGTTATGTTTTGGCTTATGTGATTGGCGTGAGCATTGTGAAATCTAACTTGTTTGAAAGGCATTGGCACTTTACCTAGAGCTATTATTGCATATCTTCAAAA